AAACCATGCTAGGAGGCCAGTCTCACTTAGAAACTATACGACCTTTCCACGAATCTCTATAAATATTCATGAAACTGAAAAGTGGAGAAACCTACTGGTCAAGACGGTTCAATCGAGCACTTAGTTACTAAGAAGAGGACTAGTCCCTCTTAGAACCGCCGAGGGTTTCTGCTAGAGTTAGTGGCAAGTCATGGATTATTGGTGTAAGAGTGGGATGCATTTTGGAAAGTTAGATTTACAGATATTGGTTCAGTATTTGGGGCGGAGGAGGACCTCCAAAGCATACGGCGATTGTCGAAGGCTTAAACGGTTGTCGTCGAGTAAGCGATGGGCTGGCTAACAATTACGTGGACGCTTCGGAATGTATGCAAAGTAGATACCAAGACGCGCGTCGAGCAGCTACTCAACGTTTATTAGAGGTTAGTAGGATTTATCACGGGATCTGGAAGGAAATCAAATTATAGGTAATATAGATATGGCTTTTTGTCTACCAAAGAGGCACTGCTATGTGTTAATCAAATTTACTAAAACGGGTATCCAACACATTCCAAGGATTTCGACGAAATTAGGGGCAGAAATATCTAAGACACTGGCAGGATATCCCTTGACGCCAACTGTGCCATTTATCGAGTAAACCGTTAATAAAATTGACATTCTTGGTCGAGTACAAAACACAAGACAATCGCCGTGGGCTACCTATCTTAGGATAAATATCTGTGAGTTATCTGTTAATAGGAAACGGAGCGAAAAGACTACGCGAGCAACTTGGCTCGATAAGATGACCATGCCATTTGAAGGCTTAAGAAAGTAGTACACAGCTGAGACGGGAAAACTCTGGCAAGTGGGTCAAGCTATTAATAGCGGTTTTACTTGCAGACAACCTAAGGTGAAACCACCAAAATTATGACGAGAGCACCAACACAATTTACTACAGACGAACATATGTTCACCGAAATGTAATTTATATCTAATGTAGAAAAAATGACGATTTTAATGTCGATTTTTTGTACATTTAGCTGCGAGCGGGTGTATGTTAGCTAATAGGCGTTAACCGGACGATACACATCAAGGATGTTTATGGAATGAAACAAAATGCGAGAGCATAGTAAAAAAACGTACTCTTAATAATTTTTCAACAGTCTGCATCTTTTCCATTTCTGCTTTGTGCTTAGCGGATTCCCGTCTGCGAACTATGCGCCGGAGCCTGGCCTCCAGTTGAGCAGCAGTTGGCTGATTTGCGGTATCAGACGGTGCACCTGTCAGATCTTCTAGGCTCCAAAGAGAGCTCTGTGAATTTTGATAGGCCAACCGCGTTCGTACAAGCCCTGAAGAGGCTGTCTGTTGATTTCGCCGTAAAATATGCATTTCCTCGTCTTGATCTTCC